CGATTTTATACAAAATATTTGCGATATCTGTCATTCGTATACCAAAAGAAGCTTTTGATTCTAACTATGAAATTTGGTACAGGAGACTAGATATGCTCTTGTTTAAGATTTTCCTTATTAAAATTATAATCAAGGCTAATCAGGTTCCACCAGATTTGTGTTTATGCCAACATGTTTTACTCATAGTCATGATTTCTTATGCCACTAGGTATTGAGATACTAACCCAAAATATATCAGAATTAAAATATAACATTTTATTACCCTTGCTCTTTTTTCTTTCGTGTTATTTATCCTACGAATTTAGCAAAATATTGGATTTTCGTGGTTATCAATCATGTATACTCTATCTGGATAACCTAGGTGACCTGATAAGACTATGCTCGCAAAAGCTTTGGTTCCTAATCTTTTTTATGCATTTTTTTTCAATTAGTCCCATATTACCCTATTTCAAACCCTCCAACATTGCCTTACACTGCTATCCAAGCTCCTGTTTTTTTAGCCTTTAAACGCATTCGAATGTTTACTTTTAAGTAATTTCAATCATATTTTCGTGCTCGTTTTTTCTCTGAACTATTTTTTTTATTTATGTTATGCTTTATAGAAGTTTTCGATACCATCATGACACAACTCTTGAATCAGGTACCCGCCGGGCCGCCTCCGGCCACTGAAGCAGCAATAAGTCGTCTTCCACGAGTCCATGTTTCTTCGGATGAATTGGCTGGTAAGTTAGAGCGCTGCTCTATCTGCTTCGAGGATTATGCAGTCGGCGAAAATTTGCTTCGGCTTCCTTGTCAGCATATCTACCATGAGTCCTGTATTGTCACTTGGCTAAAACGAGTTAGTTTACCTTTGCTTAATATCCTATTAACTCTTGAGTATTGGTTATCTCCAGTCTCATAAGAATTTCGAAGATATCCTACTTTTACTATACAGTCTTCTGAACGAGGCGGGTGCGAGTGCAAATAAGATATTTGACAGATTTTAACCACCCTTTGAGTCCTACATGGTCCAAGAATGAATTTAATCGACGATTCTTCGTTAAGCTATTCTCCAACCTCTCGATAGGCGCTAACTTGAAAGCGGCTTAAGATCCTACTTATTAGAAATTATACTAACCAATAAAATCAAAACGTCTTTTACGCCGCTTTGACTGAACATTCATACTTTTTATCGAGGCTATTTAGAATAGATACTAGCGCACTCCATGGCGGCTAAATATTCTCATCTTAAAATATTTTTAAATGTTATTTAGAGGTTTTATTGCATAATATTTGTTTTTGAGAGTGAGATTAGTATCGTCAGTGAGCCTTGCCATTAATATCACACTAAAATTCGTCAGAGACAAGTAGAGTTGATCCTTTGACTTACTGTGTGCTAAACAGGAAAGATACCATCACTATTCAGCACACAATTGGTCAAAAGATCAACTTCGCTTGTCTCTGATAATTGTAGTGTGGTGCTAAGAATGGCAAGGCTCACTGACGATGCCGGCGATACATCTGGGAATGTACCAAGTCCATGGTCCGACTAAATCATCACGCATACTATGGACTCCGGACAAGGTTCGTTCCTCTAGGCATTTTTTCCAATATGATTAAGTTGCGAATACGAGTTCAAATCATTTCTAAGGTATTTTACTTGTTACCAATATATCTATTGATCGAAGTTGTTTGACCTTGTTTTCGCATATTGGTAGGAAGACTTAAAGGAACGCACCTAGTCCGGGGTCCATTGTATATATCATCATTTCCAAAGTAGGACCGTGGACGTGGTACATTCCAGACGTTTCGCCGGCATTGTAGTGGGCATCATTATGTAGTCTCGCCATTCTTAACACCATTCAACAACTCGTCAAAGATACAAGTGAAGCCGATACTTGAACAAACGCGTGCTAAACAGTTTTGGTATCTCCCCTTCTGCCCTGGGCTATTTACATTTCCTGTCTCCTATCACGCTTTACCTTTTTCAATTTTTAACGTGCCTTTTTCGATGTAGTGTGATGTGCTCCTTTCATGAAAATATTATGTGTTATGTATGTGATAGGTGTGGATCTAAATCACTCATGCAAAGATCCTGGAAGAGTCAAATGAATATAAGTTTTCCATCGATCCAACACAGATCTTTAAAGCATTTACATGTCTGAACCAGTATGCTTTTCAAAATTTGCTGAGGAAGTTGGATCTACTCGATCACTGACTACGATCCTCCATGATGCTATCACATGCAAGTTCCGAGTTCGCGGAATACTTTAAAGATATAGTCATGCGCTGGAGCCCAACAGACTTGTGTTATGGTACCTTTCATTAAAGGTGATTTTGAAAGGTCTGCTATCAGCTAAATTTGAGTAATCACTTTATTATAAGAATACATACGGCAACTATCTTGGTAAATACATTCCATTTTGCTTAACTGTGCAAATTGAGAGCAGGCTACCACTTGGTCAGGTACATTTGCCGCGATAACTAAGCCGTATTTCCGGAGTATTCCTCTAGAGTGACCCAGATCCTAATCTTTCACTAATTTTTAAGGATTAAAGACCTAGTTACAAGACAAAGTTTCAATGCAGTGCGAGCACAAATCTGACCCAGTGGCTCTCTAATTAGTAATGCTGTCTCTTAGGCGATCTCAAATGTTCCAAGCAGTTATGGTCCAATTTCTGACTTAGAAATGAAGCCTTGGATCGATTAATATACCGGCAAACTCCAGTAGCCTTATGTCTATTTGGATCTTAACTGGTTTATTCAATCATATTCAACCGAATTTCATATCATAAAGTATAAAATCTTTGAAAAAGCCGAAGTCCAAGTTTACTCCTAAGTCTGTATATCATCGGCTGTTTTGGAGACTAACTAATGAAATGGATGAGTTGCAGTCGCGGCCTTTGCCACGGTGACACGAGTTATTGGTCTAGGTTTGGCCTAAGCCATACTGTCCAATTTATAAATTTATTTATGATTTTACCTTTGAATTACAACCAAGATACGTATCACTTTTACGCGAGGTCATCTGTTTTTTATTGGGTTTGCCATGCAGATGAGGTTTTTAGGGGATGGCCATTCTTCAATGAAATTTATTTATAAAATGGATGTTTTTTTATTTGGTTTAGCAGATGAGCTACCAGAAGAGGCTAAGAATAGTATAGAAAGAGAAAATATTGTAAAGAAATCCTATGACCTGAATAATATTTCTAGATATTTGTATCAGAATGATGTGTTTGTTTTAAAGGCAAATAAAGGTGATGCAGTGGTCATTATGGATAAGCTAAGTTATATAGAAGAAATGATGGTTCATTTAAGTAACTCAGTAACATACAGAATGTTAATGAAGGATCTCGCAGAGGGTCTCAAAGCCGAACTTATGGAATCGCTTAACGTTTGTGTATGAAAATGGGAAATTAAGTGGAAAATGAATTTCTTCAAAGGCTAGGGCACCTTCAGCTTACGGCCTTCCAAAGGTACACAAGGAAAGAGTTCCTTTAAGATTGATTGCTAATAATAGGGGAAATGTGATGCATATGATTTCATGATTTTTATGCAGACAACTAAGGAAAGTGGTTGAGTATTAAAAATATTCAGTGAAGAATTCATATGAATTTATTAGATTGATAGATCAATAGAATATTCGAGAAGAGTACCTTTTGATGAGTTTCGATGTGGTATCAGTGTATGCTAATATTCCATTTCCGAAGGCTATTGAAGCATTAGCACTCAGCCTAGACAAACACCCAGAAATTATTGAGGAAACAAATTTAAGCAAGAGCTCAATCTTAAGGCTTAATCTTTTCATGAGTAGCACACACTTCACCTTTATTTATAAGGTTTATGAATGGGTATAAAGCCTGGCAATAGGATCTTGTTAGATTCCCATTAGCGATAAATCACATGTCAATGATGAAGGAACGCTTCATGAAAGAGATAAGATTGATACTAAGACTGTTAGTTATATATATGGGTGACTACTTTGCCATATGACAGTATGGTAAGGAAAGTTAAGATAATGTATTGATCTTAATTAACTAGCTTGATTGCACTGCTAAGTTGACAATGGAGATAGACAAGGGCAACAATTTCCCTTTTTGGGATGTTATAGTGATCAGAGCAAGTGAGAAGTTAGGCAGAGATGTATATAGATAGCCAACAAACTGGCTTTATCCTTACTTTTTTCTCCAACTATAGTTATAAAATAAAGGATGGTGTTTCGAAGTCTCTGATCATACGGAGCATAAGACTAGCCGATAGAGACCATTATGATAAAGAACTGGATCGGCCTAAACTAATATTTCTTGAGAATATTTATCTCCTAGGTCAAGTAACATTAAATTAATGAATAGCTTTTTTTAATTATGAATACGTAAGGAGAGATAAAGAGATCTTTTCTTGTCTGCTCTTGTGCATTCTCTCTAAAAGATAGGTGAGCTAGTAAGAAAGTGGAATATAAAAACGGTTTTCAGGGAAACTAAGACACTTTCTTCAGATATATCCACTTAAAGAGAAAGTTGGCCAATTATCTAGATCAGGTTGCTATAAGATAGTGTGTTCATGTGGTCGCTTTTATGTTGAAGAGGCTTGTCCCATTTATCAAAGAATGGCTGAGCACAAAAGTGCCTTCACAAGCTGTTGGGTTCAAAAATCGGCGCTAGCTGAGCATAAGGCAAAAACTGGACACGAGATTTAATGGCTTCAA